TATCGCGTTGGCGATTGGGCTATGTCCACCGAGTGGGCTGTCTCCCTCAGTTGTACCGCTAGCGAGGCGGGTCTCTGTTCTCCGTTTCAATCAGGCACCACCTTTACATGTTCATCTTTATACATGTTTGTTGGCAGGTGATATTGTCTGAGTTGGTGGAAAGCGTTAATGAGGACCTCTTCACAAACTGCATATTCTTATCCCTTGAGCGGGTGCCACTAATTTGTTTCTCCCAAAACGGTGTAGCTATGGCGGGGGGTGTTTTTTCATACGAGCGTTTGCTATGGTTTCCCTTTTTTCAAATTAGGAGAGAAAAAAAAATGCCAAAGAAACTCCACGGTGGGAACACGCCTTTGCCTAAATCTGCGCAATGGTATATGAACGTTTTTCGCCAAATGAATAGCCCGTAGGGGCGAAAGTCCCTTATCAGGTTGGCTTCACGGAGGCCGCTCCACAGGAGAGAAGTTGCTTCACAGAGGAAGTTGCTTCACAGCAGGGGTTGCTTCTCCTGATGGGGGAACGTGTCGCGTCCCAGTGGTGTCATGCTTGTTCCCCCCTCTTTGCCTCTCTTCCAAGAAATGGCACAAAGCTTTGGAAAAGCCATCTGGGGGAGAAATGAAGAAAAAAAAAAAAAAAAAAGAAACAGGGGCTGAAAAACTGTAAAACAAACTCACAAAATTTTGTTTATCTTTTCCTCCCCAAAGTAGCGGTGACGATAATATATAGGGTTATCTTATGCACTCCGCGCTTCACTTTTTTTTTTTTTCTTTTGTATGCCTCAACGGATTGACAGAGGGGAAGATACGAAGATGTACGCATACCCTTGCACAAAAAAGCAGAGCTGAAAAGAAAGCTTAAAAGAAAGATGAAAATGAACTGATTGGGCAAACAAATTTATGCACTCCTCCAAGCGACAGTTTTTTCCTCAACAGCTCTACATGACGCGAACGCGTTGTGCGTCTACCGACTGGGAGAGAGCGGCGGGGCTGGAGTGACTGCACTGGAGTGACGGGGAAGGAGTTCCAGGGCTGCACCTTGGCGGGGAACTTTTCCCCCAAAAAAAGGCGCCCCCGCTGGAACGCCAATCCCCCCAGTGCGGACATGCGCGTTCATCTCCTCTGCGCGACACTTGGCGTATACGGAGCAGCCACGAGTGCAGCCCTGTCCACAGAGCCGCTGCAGAGTTCCGTGGACAAGGGAAGTCTCTTCATTAGGCGTCCTCCCCGAAAGCACGAAGCGAAAGTTTCGAAGAAGTGGAAAAGCAACGTCACAACTTCTCGTGGTGAGGACACCCACAAACGCAGCAGCCGAGGTGCAGCTGTTGTAAGTACATTGGAATCTCCCATAGTGGGTGTACCCGTTGGAGTGCCTCTGGACGCTGCTCAGCATGGAGAACACGGCGCGGAAGAAAACGGGGGAATGGCCTTCCTCTCCCCGGTTAGAAGCAACCGAAAAGAAGTGACCCTTTCCCTCAGGAAGCAGACAGGGAAGCGCCATTTCAACTGCACCAAATTGAATAACATCCTATGCATGCAATTCTTGCCGAATATCTCCAACGCCTACTTAAGGTACGTCCTCGAAAAGTTCAGCGCAAATGATCTCCCAGTTAAGGAGAACATTTTATTTCACCTAATTTTGAGATACCTACGTGAGCGTAGCAGCAACCTTGTGGGGGGAAAGACAAGCGAGAGGGACTCCCAACTGATTAACATCATTGAAGATAACGCATACAAATTTATTGCCGACCATGCCAGGGTCATAAAAAAATGTGCAAAGAGGAAGAAGCACAATGAGGTACACTTTGAACGGTGTAGAACAGAGGAGGGAAGAGCAAAAGAAACCACCTCCTCACCCCCCCCGTCAGACAACAAAATTATAAATGCTTACTTAAAAATGAGAAAAAAATTTAACATCATTTTTGTCAGCATAAAAAGCGAAAGAAATATTTATCGAATGTTTCGAAAAATTAAAAGAAATATTTCTTTTTACGATTTTCTGGATCGACTAGCCATTTTGTCTTTTTTCCATAGACATGCGCAGCACCGATTTGTGCTTCACTTTTTCAAAAGATATATTTTCAGCCTTAAGAATGAAAACAACTTATTTGTCATTAATTTTGTGAACACATTGGGGGAGAGAAGCCTGCTGAAGAGATACATGTTGATTCCGCAGTTGACTTACCACGCGATTTTGCACACACCGGTGGGGTTTGACACCTGCGCGGACTCGTTCAAGTGGAGTTTCCTCCCCGTTAACGCGTGCAACTATGTGGAGAGTTACATGAGGGAGAGGTTCTTCCTCGGCGGAGCCACGAGGAGGGGTGTTAGAGGCGACGGAATTGACAGAAGCCAACTTCACAGTGGCCGTGTTGAGAGCGGTCGACTCCACGCCAAGGCGACCTTCCTAATCTATTCAAATTTACTGGACTCCCTCACGCAAAAGAGGAATGAGTACTTCCCCGAGCTGTTCCTCAAGCAATTTTGCCTGTACTACTCAGAAAAGGAAAACATCCTTTACGACAACAAATGGCACTACTTCCTCATCACGGTGTCCTCTCTGATGAAGGCACACTACGTGAGGAGGAAGCTCCACATTATGGGAGATGCACACAAGGGAGCAAACCCCCCTCTACTAAACCGCGTCAACATACATGATGATGACATTTTCAGGGACAAAACGCACTGCTTGATAACCTGTGGAGGAAATCGCCTGAACAGTCAGGTGGTGACTTACCTCCGGAGGCAGTTCCATGCAGGGGAGCTCCACCGAGGGGAGACCCTCAAGCAGTACTCCCTTCTGCTTCTTCTCCAGTACACCTTCTTACTTGAGCTAAACCTGGAAGAAGTCAATCTGGTGAGTAGAAACTCCGCCAATCATTTTTCAAACACGGTGGAAAATAAGGAGTCGGCAGGGAAGAAAATGAAAAGAGAAGGGAGCGGAACAGAACACAAATCCGCATCTTTCAAAAAACAAGGAGCAGTATCTGCAGAAAGGGAACGCCTCCTTGTACGGATAAGTCTCTTGTACAAATCCATTTTATCAAGCCACTGTGAACACACAGGTGAGACAATTCTATTATATAACTACACGTTTCAGGAGTTGACTCGATTTGTGCAAAACTATTTAGCCGACTTAGTGGAGAAGTGTTTCCATGGAGGGAGAGAAGTTGCAGAAGAGATGAAATTGTGCGTTAAGTACATCCTACCACTGTGCAGAGTTAACCCGCGTCTTTTTTTCATGCTCCTGGAATGTCTAAATGAAGGTAGCAATGTCAATATGGCGAGGCACCTCTGGCTGGGAAGTAAACAGACGCTGAGGAATTTGCAGCCATGGGTAAGAAAAGCCATCGCGGGGGAGCTCCTCGAAGGTGCTGCAGAGGGAGGGGGCAGTCAACGGAGGACCCGCGAAGGGGAGACTCACCAGAGACAGCCCCACCAAGGGGACACCCACCAAGGAGAGCCTTACGACAGAATGGCCACTGACCGGGGAGACCCCCCCTTGGCCCTCGCCATCTCAGCGTACGACGCGGTGCAAACAATTTACAAACAAATAACAAGTTGCTACGACAAGGCGCATATAAAGAATCTGATCAGAGGCTTGCTATCCCTGCGCAGCGGAATGGAAAGTGACCCTTCCCCCTTGGGCATCTTTAAGAGACCCATTTTAGCCCTAAATTTGAAGCAGATTTTTTTCCTCTTTGTTACTTTGAATTATTTCAATTTGCACGGCGAGATTATTCAGCTCTTTCGACACATTATGGGCAGCGCTGCATTGGGGGAAGTCTTCCGCAGAGCCATCTCAAAGAGGGGGAACCACCATCCCAGCATAGGGGATCAACACATTGATGAGGAAGAACACGAGCTGTGCCAAAAGATTCTCTACATTTACTGCAATTCGAGTTTTTGTGTGGACAGTCCTCTGCGCCTGCCCGCGGGGGTGACATGCTCGAGGGGGCTCATGAAGTATGTTCTCTTCTATCGTGACCCGCTGCACATATTTAACCACCTGATCAGGAAATATGAAAGAGGAAGGACTGCCGAGGGGAACATCGAGGGGGCCTACAATGAGGGTAACTCCAATGAGGGTTCCGCCAATCAGGGCAAAGGCACAGTGGAGGAGATTTTACAAAAAGTGGAAGGCAGCAAATTTTTTCACGAGGACAGTTTGAGCAAATTTCGAAGGAGTAGCATTTTTAAGGAATTTTTTGGAGAAGAAATATACACCCGAGTGAGTCAGAAGGAGTACACACTAATATTTTACACGTTGATGATAGATCTGTACAAGCAGGGATCGATGTGGGATAACAGATCGGCATGGGACAACAGATCGATGTGGCACAACGAATCCACATGTAACCCCCATGCGGGGGAGAACAAAACGAAGCAAAGTGAAAATAACCCCGCTGCGTCATTGCGACGACTCCAATTCATATACCTGCATTTTTACGTCGCATGGGAAACCTATCTCAAGGTGCACAAAATGAGCAAGATAAATTTCCTAATCGGTGCCAAGACATTTCTCCTTCTGAATGATGTCGAAACGTTCCAAAATTTACTTTGCGCAAACAGGAAGATAGTAGAAAAGTGCGCCATCTTTGTTAACTCCCTTCTAAATAACTACGTCCATCATTGTGATGCCCGCATGGATATATTGCAGAATAATTTGATTGCCCCTTCCGATATGTACATTACCTCCGCAGATGAGCTGATCATTTTTAACTTAAATCATGAGCAAGTTGTGCAGAGGATACGTCCGTTTGGGGACTACAGCAGTCAGTGTAAAGTCACGCTCTTTATCGATTACCGGAAATTGTTCCCAGATTTAATCAACCTACAGTTCTGTCTTACCCTCCCCTTTTTACGAAGTCAGAAAGTCAAATCCTTCCTTGAGGAAAATAAAATAACCTTATGTGAAAAAAACTTCTGGGACATTACCGATTTGGTCATATTTTACGGGAAATGCCTCGACAAAAGGGACAAAATTGTGTACTTTTTTTCCAAACAGATGAGTGATTTTTCCATCCAAAAGAATAAACTCGTTAAAGACGCGTTCGTCGTTTCACGGAAGAAGTAGACTCATCCCTTGAGGGGGGAGTCCTCCTTTTGTCTCCTTCCTACTTCGAATTGATATGAATTAACAAGCCATTTGATGGTACACCTGCATACACGCATTGGTATACCCCCCAGCCATTTTTTATTTCCTTTTTTTGTAAAGTAGTACCCCGTTGGGAAGGTTTGCAGTTTGCACGCCAAAATTGGGCATCCCCTTTAAGTGCAAAACCGCAGCGTTTGTAGACCCCACCCCCTTCTCTTCCCCATTGGCCATACGCCGTTTTTTTAAGCTACGTGGAGATGCCCCTTGTGGAGAAAAATTCCTCCTAAAAAGTGTGCTTCTTTTTGCGCATTTTTCTGGACAGTTTTGTGTGAAAAAGTGACGACACGGGAGACCCCCCCACGCAGCTGGAATTGTCTGCAAAAACAAGTTAGCTCATTTGGGATGTCCCATTTGAGGCAACCATGTGGAGAGCCAAACGGAGGGGTCATTCCCCTTTCAAGGGTTACCTTTTTGTATGTGTTGCCTAGTAAAGGGCGGACAATCGCCAAGTATCGAGTTACAAGTTTTCATGTTTTTATTTCATTTTTTCATTTTTTTTTTTTTCCACATTTCACCGCTTAGGTGGTCAACCGGCGGAAGGCGCCCCCGCCATAAAAGTGGCTCCACCCCTCGCTTTGCTGCAACTTCGTGCATTGTTTTACTTTTTCGTCGAAGGTATCTTTTTGTCCCTCTCCATTCATGTAACGTATTAGCAACACTGTCTCCCACTAATGGCTGTTAAAAGTCCTATATTTGATGGGCCCCCTTTTGGGAGGGGGAGCTCTCAAAAGCTGCATCTGTGAGAAGCGTCTTCCTGCATGTGCATGTATAAATTGTGCGCATGTACACATAAAGGTGTCTGCTCGGATGGTACTTCCCCCACGTCCGCATGTCTCCATTCGCGCATGCGGATTGGAGGCCACATGTTAGCGGCTACACATTTGGAGACACACATTTGGAGACACACATTTGGAGCCACACATAGGCTTCCCCCCAGTTGGCGTGAGGAGTGCTTTGATGCAGGCTCCTTCCCGCTTGCGTGAAGCAACATGCGAAGTGTTATGTCCCCTCGCCTGGATTGAATGCCTTTTCTTTTAAGCTTCTTCGCCACAATCCATTTTGGCAATTCCCTAAGTGCATGTGCAAAGGGGAGGGAAGAAAAGCCTCAGCGCAGTCGTAGGGTTTTAAAGAAGAGAGAGAGAAAAAAAAAGACTTCATCAAAATGTGTCATGTGAGCTGTACCATACACAATCCGCTTTCTCCGCAGAGAAAGTTTCTTCTTTTTTTTTTTTTTTTTTCCGCTTTTGCTTTTAACTCATCAGTGTAAATAAACATACGTATTGACAACTGATACTTGGACAACTCCAACGTCTTTCAAATAGCAAAGACAATCAAACAAAAAGTTATTTCTAGTGCCACAAAACAGAGCTCTGCGAATAGCACAGCTGTGTGTAAGACACTTCATTTTTTTTTTTTCTCCATCTACAACTGCTTCAAAATTTGCCAGCTACTATCCAAAATTTTTTTTTCTCCTTCTTTTGTACGTTTGTATAATACAAGAGGAGGAAGACTTCCATTTTGTTCTTTTGTTCTATTTTTTTTTTTTTTTTTTTGTTTTTCCTTTTCATATACGCTATGTTGTGAAGTGGTTTTTCAATTTTTTCCCATTTTTGTCAATTGCCTGTTTTCTTGCAGGATTGCTACACACTGCCACAATTTTTTTTGTGCCCATATACATGTAGGTGGAGATTTCTGGGCAGTTAACTGCAGAAGTGGAGATCTACCTTTTGATTCACTGCTGAGTGATATCCTCATTTTATATCTGCTCGCTGATTTGCTCTCTCATTTGTTCGCTCTTTTGTCCGCTCATTTGTTGGCTCTCCCCAGACACAATTATACATGGCTCGGACAAGTGCAGAGCGGCCTCCTCACTTCGGACCTGCATGTACTGTGTATCAATCCAGTATGCCCCTTCTTGAGGACGTGTCCTCTTTAACACAAAACGGTTAAGAATGATATGGGCTGCTAAAATTTAGTGGCCTCTTTGAATTTTTTGTACATATGTCTTCGCTGGGCTAATTGATGCGATCCACGCGAGAGCGTTGCTCTACCCACCTGCTTCTTTATCTACATGCACGCTTTTGCTTCCCTGTGGGATTCTTCATCTAACTGCTCACCTCCGCTTCCACGTCCTTGGACAAATTAGAAGTCCGATCCTTTTTCTCACCCCTGAGGAGTGGAAAATTGGAGAATATTTCCAATCTGGCTTCCAAAAAGGAGGGAAAAGCATTCCATTCTTCTCTCTTTTATTTGTTTTGCTCTGTTTTGTTTTACTTTCCTATTTTTTTACTTCCCCCTTGGCAACTTTGTCCAATCGTTGAGTAGTTAAGTTTTCCATCCTCCTTCTCCCGCACTTGACCTGCCCGGTGTGCAGTTTCCCGCTGTTCCAAGGTGGAAGACATTCTGTTTGTCTACTCTCCGTTTCTCTGCCCCGTTGCAACCGTGGTTCGATTTCTTCGATCTGCGGAACTAAGTTTTTCCTTTCTTTTCAGCCCCAGTTTAGCATATTCCTATAAGTGCCCAATGTGTTAATTTTTTTTTTTTTTTTCTTCTTCTTTCCCTTCCCTGCGCAAACCGTGGAATAGAGGAAGACGCAGGATGAGACGCATCGTGAGGGTCCTCCTCAACTGGATCCTCCCCTTTTTTCTGTTTCGTCTCACTCAGGTTGAAGGCAGAGGTTTGATAGAAAAGGTAACCTCGCATGGAGACCTGGATTTAGTCCTACTCTTCGATGCCGGCTTCAAGGAGAAGAAGGAAAAGGAGGGCTCCAAGGCCTTGGAAAATATCACAGAGCTGGCAAGGAAACTGATGGTGGAAGGAGAGCGCAGGGTAAATCTCACCTATGTGACATATGACAGCGTGGGGGTGCAGACAATAGCACGCGCGGATAATAGGAGTGCGAAAGGTAATACTTCGGCCGCCCGCACAAATGGCTCGCTCCAGAGGTTCAGCAAAGCCGTGATGCAGACTCAGATGCAGCAGTCGCAGCAGAGCTCCAACCATCTGAAGGCCCTCAACTATGTTGGCATTAGACACTTCTACGACGCGGAGGACACCTCCACCAAAATGGTAATCATGTTTATCAACACGGAGGGTATGCCAGACACAGACGAAACGGAATTGAGCATAGCGCACTACCTACTGGACAGAAAAAATATTACACTGAATGTCATAACGAAGGTGAATCTCAAATCGTACTGTCACTACCTACATAGGGTTGGACCAAATACAAACGAGCTGCTAAGATGTGTGTTAAAAAATTCGTATTACCACAAATCAATGTTGATTCACAATCTGGAAAAATTCTATGACGACATCGCGACGAATGCAACGTGCAGTGAATGGTCTGAGTGGTCTGAATGCTCCGTCACATGTAACATGGGTTACCACTTCAGCAAAAGGAATACTCTGAACAATGTAGAAAATGCTTTAAGCGGGAAATACAAAAGGACAGGAAAGAATTGCACAGATCAGAGGAGTCTCGTGATTCAGGAATGTTTCGACACAAGCTGTGATCACTCTCTTGATGTCTGCGACATAGAGATCGATTTGTCTCTTCTAGTAGATGACTCCTCTACTATGTCTCAATCGTTCTGGCTGAAGTATATTTTGAAGCCCATCAGGAATCTCATTTCCCACTTAAATTTAAGTTCAAATTTGGTTAACATATCGCTCACTACTTTTTCTCAGGAGACATACAATTGGATTAGCTTCTCTTCCAACTTGGCTCGAAACAGAGACCAACTTCTTCTCTTCTTAGAATACTGGAGATTCAATTTTGGTGGCCCATCCAATAATTTGAGTAGCGCGTTAAGTTATATGCACGACCATGTCCTCAATACAAATGAGGGCAGACCCAATGCCCACAAGGTCCTTGTCATTTTTAACACGGGCAATGTCAGCAATAAGGCCGCCAACCAAGCGGAAGAAATCGTCCGCAATATTAAACTCACCTATGGGGCTGACGTCTATGCCATTTGCTTGAACAATAGCAGCCACGGGAACTGCAAAACGATGAGCGGGGATAGCAGGGATATCGGGGTTAGCGGCGGCACGGACGAAATGGACGCGCCCGGTGTCGTCAATCAGGACGAAGTAGACATGGCCGGTCTTTCCAAGCAAGACAAAGCCACTAATAACTCCCCCGTTGAGGACGCCCCCTTCTTCTACTCATACAGCAACCTGTCTGAATTCAGAGAACAGCTCACCGAAATACAGAAGAACATCTGCAAGAATGCGCACCAGGCTATCGTCGCGGCCAGACGCCGAAGGAGAAGGAACCTAAGGCGTGCGAACATCGCCGGGAAACCGAGCGAATGGCACGGGCGCAGGGGAGCCAAGAAAGCAGGAGGGGAGAACGAGGAAGGGGAGGAGGATGAGGCAGCAGAAGAAGCGATAGAGGATGACAAGGAGCAACTCGAATCGGAAGTGGCGCCCAGGGCAGAACCAGACGCAGATGGAGGAACAGAGTTAGAAACAAAATCGATGGTAGAGCCAGGTGCAGACGCGGCATCCGAATCCGTTGCGGCAGCGGCAGCAGATCCATCAACTGACCCATCAACAGACCCATCAATAGACCCATCAGCGGATCCCCAAATCGGGCAGAAAGCAGACCAGCCAGTTGACCCCGACGTAGTAGCGGAGTCGATACCCCCAACAGGACTCGGTGTCGTACTACACGAACCCCCGAACGAGATCGAAAAAATGGCGCAGAAGCTGCACGGAGACAAGGCGACCAACAGCATAGTACTACCCCCTTTCTATATCGGTAACGGAGGAAATCTCAAACGTTCGAACAAAAACAGAGTCATTCTAAAATCACTTAACAGCTTGGAAGGAATATATGATGCAGAGGAGGAGGTAGATGTAGAACCCACTCAGAACCCGTTAAAAAAATACTCCTCAGAGTACAACATAGATGCATTGCCATCATACAAAAAAAAAGGAAAAGGAAACTTAATCTGTAGACTTCTGCGATTGCTATTTAGGAAAAAACAAAAATATAGATTACACAAAATTGATCCCAAGGACCAGGAAAAGATAAAACAGTTCATAGCAGATGTAAAAGACATGAACGATTCAGAAGAAACACATCATCAAAGGGAGCGACAGATAGAGGAAGATTTTAAAGTCATGTTAGAAAACATATTTAACAATGTTGCCAATTCACCGTTCAGTGACCTACACTCTGATTCTGCAAGTGTGTCTAGTTACAGCACACATCTGGAGGAGGAGCAGATGGGGCTGGACCTGGAGAATACACTCCCCTGCAGCTGGTTCTACATAGATGCGGCACAGATGGAGGGAGACTACCTGCCGAAGGGGGGAGATGGTTCCGACGTCGATGACTTGGCTGATGCGGATACTTCTGCTAGCTCCAGTGCTAACATGGACGACGATTCTGATGGGGAGGAGAGAGCCACTCCCGTCGAAACGGGAAGGAGCATTCTCGACGACGTCCCCATAGATGACATGTTGGTAAAGGAGGGAGACCTTCCTACCAGCGAAAGGAGGAAGTTGAAAAGGGGGAAGAGGTCCATCAATCAGACACAGGGACAAACCACATCGAAGGAGGAAAGTCACGATGAGAAAAATAAAGGCCCAGGTGGAAAGGCAGACAACATGGGGCTGGTAGAATCATTGCTACCTGGCAATCGTGATGAGGGGAAAAAAGGTCAACATGATAAGACGGAAGCAGGCCACGGTGGGGAGGATAGAACGGTACTACCTTTGCCTCCCACTTCGTCGACCCAACCTCCCTCTTCCGATGGAAGCAAACCACCCCCACAGAGAAAATTCAAATCCAAGTTCGACATCATTCATCGCTTCAAAAATAGGGGAGCCGTGGTGGACGACAATACAGGAGTCAGCTTCGATACACGGAAGTATCCATCCCCAGCAAGCAACGGAAGGGAAAAAAGAAGTATCCATCTCGAAGAGCATACAGAAGGGAAGAAGGATAAACCATCAGAACACATCCCCAACATCTTTCAACAGACGAACCATTCCAAAGAGTCTAATAAGTCATCTAATCAAGGCGACGTAGTCGCCCCGCCACCCCCCCTCTCCCCCATCAATTATAAAAAAAGAAAAGAAAACGAAGCCATAATTAAAGGAGGAACAAAATCAAGTGGACACGTCAAAGTAGACGACAGCCCAGGGATGATAAAAGATGAAAAAAACAAAACATCAAGTGGTACAAAAAAGGAAACACATGTATCTGATCCGAATGTGCAGGTGAAGTATGACCTCCTTGAAGAAAAGCATTCCAGCATTGAGTGGATAACAGGAAACTACGACACCGTTGAGGAAGATGAACATGCCGATTCTGCTATATATAAATACTCAGCTTCCTTCGCTGTAATCGCCATCGTCCTTCTAGGTGCCACCTTTCTGTACATACGCAGTGAGAAGAAACTTACGGAGACTTTCTCTGTGCCCTTTAACGATTTTGCAACCCAGAAAGAGGAGAAGAAGGTCGAGTGTCGGGACCAACATATTGAATTAAGTCCAGATGAGACGTCTTGGCAGTAGGGCTTTCTTGGAAAATGCCTACTGCCAACGACGCTCTATACTCACACTGTCAACAAAACGCTTCCTTCATTTTAGGACCCTTTGAGCCTTTCCCCCCAAGGTTAACTTATATATATATATGTATGTATATTTTTTTTCTTCTTCTTCTTCTCTGTACCATCTATATGAGTGTATATGTCCCCAAACAGTGGCAAACTCCACACGTACATGCTGACCTGACCGTTCGCTTATAAAATCACAGGGGTGAATACCGTGCCCCTCGTAATTCCTTCTGCCTAGCCCGCGGGGGCAAACCCCGTCAATTAACTTTTAGAAGGCAAAAAAAAAGGGGCGGACTCTCTCGCGGCTGGCAGCCTCGGGGCCGCTTCTACAATTTTGTACTCTCTAACCTAACCGGACACTTAATCTCCTTCGATGCGGTGGAAATGAGGAGTTGTGTGTTTTTCACGCACATATGGGGTAAAAAAAAAGAAAAGAAAATTGGCCAATCGTGTAATCAATCGGGTGACCAATCTGGTGGACAAACGAATGAGTTTCTAATTGGGACACCCTTCTGTCAGTCAATCAGGACGATCAGAAGGGGGGTGCACGTGATAAGGAAGTCGTTAGGAAGGTGTCTGGACGTTGTTTGGAGGCGACTTCCATGTGGCTGGGACGTGGCCTGTCAGCAGCCCATACGCTGCTCATACGCCGCCCATGTCCTTCCCATTAACCGTAACGTGGCGCCATTCACGCCTTGAGCCGCGTTCCCCCGTGAATTCTCTTGAGGATGTCATCCTTCACAGCGTAACTCGTCTCCTCCGCCTTGATGACCCGTACAAGGCTTCGAAGCGTTATTATCAGGTAGGGGAAGTTATCCATCGTTTCGAACACTGTGACGTCTTTTAGAATTAGAGTGGAACCAATGTTTATGTGTTTTTTGTATTCCTTTTGGACCTCCTTATGTATAGAGGCTGGCATCTGTCCAGAAGGGTCCATGGCCACTATGAAGTAGCCGTGACTTCTGCATCGAATGCTCTTTACGATCACCATCATTTTCTCGATTCTGTAGTTTGCGAATCGTTTGTTTCGTAAAATGTTGTGGATGTTGTGGGTGTACAGGAAGGAGGGTGCGCCGCTATCCGTTCCGCCAGCCCTGTTGAGCAGTCTATTGCTTAGTCTATTACTTAGTCCATTTCTTAGTCCATTGCCTAATCCATTGCGCAGTGTGGCGCTACTTGGGCCGCTTACCGCTGCGCCTGGTTCGTGCGAGTCCGGGCTAGGCGCGGACGCCATTTGGTCCTGATGCTGATTCTTATGTCGGTCCTCGCTCTGCTCCTGGCCTGACTTCTGCTTCCCCGGCGGCTCCTCCCCCCCGTCTGTTACATACCTATGCGCGTTTATACTCAGGTGGAAGGGATCCAACGGCAGGTTCAGGATTTTCAGGGCCTTCACCCAAGAATTGTACTTTATAAATGAAAAGCAAAAAATTAACTCTTTCCTTTTTTCGATTCTGTTTTGTTGAGCAAGCGGATCTGCTTCTATGCTTCTGTCCGATGGCTGCGAGGTGTATCTTATCGAATTCAACTTAGAAGCGCCACTTAACAAGGAAGTTGATGTGGTTGAATTTGATTCCATCGCTGGCGCTGTATTGGAGTTTCTACTACTATACCATTTCGCCTTGTTCGCAATTTGGATTCCCTTGGTTGCCTCCTTACTGTTCATCCGAGGTGGTAAGTCCTTTCCATCCTCATTGGTGACAAAGCGTACCACCCGATTGGGGCTTCTTCCATTGGACCAGTTGACTTCCTTTTCTCCGTGCATCGATGCACTCGCACGGTCTGTCCCTTCTACCCTTGCGTTACGCTTCTTTAGTATTCCCTCTTCATTTTTTTTTGCAGCACTTTTGGTCACTGCCACTTTTCCCTCTGCCGCATATTCCTTTCGCGCTTCCCCTGCTTTGAACACTTCACTGTACAGGTTTGTTTCTGGGGACCTCTTCTTTCCGCACACTTTGGTCGAGGGAGCGATCGGTTTGACCGCCTCCCCTTCGCGCAGGCATGCCTTTTCCCTCAAACGGACAGCATTCCTCTCGATCGCATTTTCCACCACACGAGGGTTCCCCTCGGTTACCTTCCTACATTTGCTGCCCTGGGAAGAAGAAGCCTCCAGATTTTTCCTTTTCGCAATTTCTTGCTTCTCAATTTCTAGGGATGGCAAGTAATTTAAGGAGTGGATAGCGTACCTTCCATTTCGCTCATTGCTTGCATCGTTGTGGACCAGTTTGGCGGCGTCCGCTGCTGCGATTGTTCCATTTTTCCCACTGAGAGAAGTCTTACTGTTCGAATTTTTCCTCAGCTGTTCATCTTTCCTGTTTGGCGCGTTTCCGTTTTGGTTGGCTTCTCCACTTGGCGGCAGCGAAGTCGACGTGTGCGAAGCGGTACCCTGGATCGCAGCCTTATAATGTGCACCAATGGCGAGTTCGGCATTGGCATTTTTAAAAAAATTATTCAAATTCCTTATGTTGCGAATGTTAAAGTTTAGGACAGACGTGGGGAAGAACTGTCCACCACTCTCAGTGGTCGCACTGCTGCCCTTCTGACGCAGCTCTTGCTTCCTTCTCTTGACTTCATTTTTTCTGGCACATTCGTCATCGCTCTCGTCTAACAAACATGACAAGTTCTCATCGAGCATAATTTCAGCTAGCTAAACCCATAGAATAAAATAAGGATAAAGGGAAATAAAGGGGAAATATAAGGGAAATATAAGGCAAATAAAAAGGAGATAAAAACATAATAAGAATATGATAAAAGATGTGGTCAAATGTGGGCAAAGAAAAAAAACAACATGAATGGGTCAGGTGGAAAGGTGCCAAATGGTGGCAAACACCTGTAGAAAATGGCTAGCTCTTTTTTTTTTTTTTTTTTCCCTGGTAAGCTCATTTTGTAAATGAGGCAATCGAGCTAGTTGACCATGTGGAGAAAGCTAAAAATTGGGGGAAGGAGTGAGAAGATTCGCGGAACATGCAGGACGCAGTGGGACAACATGCCCAAAGATCTAGGACGAAGGGGGGAGATACACGAATAAGTGCCGGCAGCAAATCATACGCAGAAACGTCGCCACAAAACGGGAAAAGGGGCACTACAAAAAAAAAAAAAAAAAGAAGCAGAACCATAAGAAGACTAACGCTGCACTGTGCAACTTGGGAGATACATTTGGGGGTATGCACCTCATCATGTGTATATTTACCCATTTATTTTCTGACTTTTCTGGTCACTCTTTCTTCTTGCTTAAAAAGTTCCCCTCCTGCCTGGGATTCCCCCTTAAAAGGTTGCACACACATATACATACTAATGTGCGTTTTTAAGGTTGTGTGGCCTTGTACGTACAGAGAAATCTTCCCTTTTGTGAAAAGAAAAAAAAAAAAAAAAAGCACTCTTGCATAGGATATGTTAGTCTAGGCTGGTACCTAGGATGTGCTACCTATTGGGTATCACCCCCCCCACGTGCACACACGCGATGCGTCATGGCGGTTACGCAAAGGACGTGGCGCAATTCACCCTGATCTCATATTATATCGCAACGAATGCTATCCATTCAGCCCAGCCCAGTTGTACTTTTTCTCGTAAACGCGTCTGAGGAAGTGCACAAATTTCTCGATATCAACGATACAATCGATAGAACTTGCCTTGATTTCTGTTGCCTGGGTTATATGATTTTCCAGCTTTTTCAGGATTTCTTTCTTTCTCTTTAAATTATCCTTATTCGCGTTGACAGCCTCATTTGTCGCGTTGACAGAAAAGTCTGGGAAAAAAAATCGGTAAAAAATGGAAGTTTCGGGCGTTTTCACTGAGGCTGGTTTTTCTTTGGCATCCTTTTTGTCGATCTTGGTCGCTATGCACGCTATAGGTATTTCTCCCTTGAGAATTTGGTCCCCCTTTTTGGCCTGTCCCTTTTCGATGTCTGAGTCGTCATCGGAGGCGAAGGGGTCTTCATCAAGGTGTCTCTCTCGGTGAGAGACATAGCCATCGGAGTAGCGATTAGCATACCGAGTGGCATATCCATTCGCATTGTACTGTGTGTTGTACTCCGCGTAGTGCTTCGCGCAAGTGCCCTTTTTTCTCTGCCCGTGGAAGTCCTTGTACCCCCCATGGTCACAGCAGCCCTTCGGTGTCCCGCTTCCGGAGTGGCCCTCCTGCACCCCTTTGTTCTCCTCCTTCGTTTCAGCACCCTTGAAGAGGTTCCAAAACTTATTTCGACCTCTTTTAGCGGAGCAGAAGACATCCGAGGGGGGCTTCGTGTGATCATACACTTCGTATACCCATTTGGCCAAATTGTGATAAGACTTATTATTTGTCGAGTCGTAAACAAGTAAAATTCCGTCATGCTCTGGGTAAAAAATGTTTCGGATACAGGAGTAGGTCTGGATGCCTCCTATTTCGAGGAACTCCACGAGAAGTGCCTTCTCGTCCTCCTGGCCACGAACAGCCAGCATGTCAGCCAAGTGCCCCCCACTTTGCCTTATGTTCAGGGGAATGTTCTTCTCAAACTTGTTGTTGTTATATGCCTTATCCATGTACCATAGGAAAGTAAAAATCTCGAAGCCGTAGGTATATTTGTGTCTTTGCTCGCAAAAAAAATTCTGACCATTCATTTTACTCTCTATAAATTCGAGGAAATTTTTTTTGGCCTGAAAGAACATAGACTCCACCAAAGCTTGGACTCTCTTCGTTTTGCAATTATTCTCCGCTAAATCCTTGGCACTTACGAATTTTTTCCTCGCTTCTTCCTCGTCTAGGTGCATGTAGTAGTCGAAAAAGTTGATTGGGTATATTTCGGAGAACCTCTCCGTTATCAGCTTGAGGAAGGAGCTCTTCCCCACGCCCACGTCTCCCAGCACGAGTATTCTTAGGCTCTCCATGGAGAGGGCGGCCAAATAGGGAAAACGCAGCAAAACCGAGTCGGCGCAGCCAAATGGAGGTTACTCCGTTTCTGTCTCCTTCGGGTCACTTCCCCAAGTGGTGAGGACCCCCAAGAAGCGCGATGATAAATGGAAAAAAAAAAAAAAACGGCCACAACAATAGAGAGACTCCTCATTCGATGCGTACGTGGAGCCTTTGCGGGGGAAAGCCTTCCCGTGGGGCTTTCATTTTAAGCTCCTAAGGGTAGAAGTGTACGTGTGTATGTCTGTCTGTATTTGTGTGTGTAACGAGGAACCCTAAACCTTTTTACCACTTATCACTCACCACTTGGGAACCTACCCCCTCAGTGGCGTGTCCTCCTTGCTGTACACGTTGCACCCGCTCTACTTCACCCTTCAGCGTGTGAATCTCCTCCTTCCTGTTTCGTTTCCACTTGTGGGACGGCCTTTTTTTTTATTTTTTCTTTATTTTTTTTACCCCTTCTGCGTCTTCGCCTTACGTTGAATTTTCCTTCGAAGGGTTCTTTCTATTTCATTTAAAGTGCCTGATTGGCTATTTCCGTGGTGTGGTCCTCCCCGTGCGGGGAAACACGCCAAGTTGCCGCCTCGCCTGAGTTCTGCGACGTTGGTCTGGGATGTCGAACCGCAGTTTTCGAAAGCCCCCTTGAGAAGTATTCTACACGGTGGGACGGACACTTTTGTGTGCGTGTCGCTACTTCCCTCTCTCGCTTTGCAGGATCGTTGCTTCCATCATCACCTGCTCTCTCCCATCATCTTTTGGCCGCCTTTCAGCTCCTTCTGTAGCTCGTCCTCCTTTCCTTCCTGCGCTCCGGCGCTGGGCATGTGTGGGATTCCCTTCTCAGCGCCGAAAATGAGATGCGCGAATTGAAAACGACATTTTACGGAAGAATAACAAAGTGTAGAAAGCGTAATGGATATTTTTGTCGCCCCTCTCTCGCTCTATATATATATCTCTTTTTTTTCTTCTTCTTCTTTATTTTATCCTCCAATGAAATGCCCCCTCCCCCCCCAGGAGAGTAATTTGTTAGCAAGAGGGGAAATAAAAGCACAGCATCGGTGTGCATGCGCAGACGTACACATTGGCACTTCACAAAAAAAAAAAAAAAAAAGAAGGGGAGCTTGTCGGGGGCCGTTGTCCTTAATTTTATGCGAAGCTCCGCGCAGGGTTAATGCAAATGGGGAAATAGGAAAAAAAAGAAAAAAAAAAAGAAAAAAAAAAGGAAAAAAAAGAAAAAAAAAACAAAAAAGAAAACAAAAAAAGAAATAACACTACACGCACGTTTCTGGTTGCAGAGGGCCCTTCCGTTTCTGTGTTAACTCCTCCAAGTGTATGCACGTGCACAATAGAAACTCTTTCTGCGGGTACAATATGCAGGTCCAGCCCTATTATTGAAGCGGCTTACTGTAAGGCGTGTGGCATTTTCCTCTCGCAGAGGTTCCAACGGGATTACGAGGGCATTGCCTAATTACCCTCTTCTTTCGGGGGGCTCAAATGAAAAATGAGCCGCAAAACACACACACGCGTAGATGGTGGATGTATGCCTCTCCGTATGTGTAGCGTTATGTTACGCTCAGTGCAGCCGGCAAAAGTTCCCCCCCCGGCACAGCAGGAGGAGGAGGAGCAGGAGCAGTCCCTTACAACATGCCCGCGCCACAGACGGCACGGTGCACGCGCATACGCTCTCTTCCGCATTTATGTACATATGAGCACTCATAAGATCACCTGTGTATCCGCGCTGTTACGGGGTTATCCAATTAGGAAAATAAACAGGGGAGTAATTTCCCAAAGGGGGCGAGTGGGGTATCCCCGACCGGCCATATCCTACGTTCACCAGTTCACCTCCACTGCGCAGAATTTCGCGCGTTCAGTTCCGTCATCAGGGTAAAAAAAAAAGAAAAAAAAAAAAAATATGATCATCTGCGTTTGGGAGTAAATTCACCGCTATAAGGGGAAAAAGGCGGGAAAATAAAAAAAAAAGGAAATCAAACACGTCGTAATTATTATCCTCACCATCGCCGTTACAGTCCCGGTTACTATCGCGGTTACCATCTCCACTTCTATCCTCACTATTGCAGTGCTGACGAATAAGTTGTTCCTGACGGGGGTGCCTCGACAAGCCGTTGACCTATTTTCACCCCTCCTGACAGGCACATAAATCTCTGTAAAGAAACAGAAACATATGCATCTGTGCGTTCCTGCTCTGCACAAGCTGTATGCATAAAACTGCAGTGCTTCCTCAGAGCATCTTCATGCCATATGGACCACAGCGGTAAAGGGGAATCCGCATAATATATATAGTGGTGACCGAAGCGGTAATAACTTTTCCCAGCCAGCTGGGTCCCCCTTTTATTCATGCGAAGAAGCATTCGTGGGGCTGCTATCAACATTTGGAACCCCACCCCGCCGTTCGGAGGAAACTTACCCTCTTCCGGCGCACCCCATTTGATTTGTACCCCTCCAGGTTGGAACTACGTCAACACAACGTAGAAGTCTGCCTACAGTGCAGAATCGCATTAGGAGGATATCGAAGTGTGGATTTTTTTTTTCCACATCAAGGATTTTGTATGTACTTGTGCACAGTGAATCTTATGTGCCTCCTTCCTAATGTAAACGTAGGTGTCCCACCCATGTCCATCCGACGCACACATTTCGCCACCCTGTGTAACGTCCATCCGAGCTGCGTAAAGGGGATGCGATAAAAAAGATAAGAAAAGGAAACACATCAGCGACAGGGAGATAAGTAACAGGGAAGGAAGAAGAGAGGACGAGTGGAGAAGTCCACATCAGAGCTTGCTTCTTCTGCTTGCTTCTTTTGCTTGCTCCTTCCGCTTGCTCCTTCCGCTTGCTTCTTCCGTGTCGCCGCCAGTATATCACCCCCCTCATAAAGACCCCTACCCGCCCGTTCGGACGAACCGAATGAGTCCGTCTGGATCCCTGAACCGAATCACGCGAGAGCAAAATGCTGCGAATGAAGAGCGTCTTCTGCAGGTACAGGAGTGGGTGGTGGTTCGCGGAGGCTCCCAGCAGTGCAGTTGGTGGGGGTAGCTGCGTGTGCGGGGTCAGCCGCATGAGCACACTTAACGCAGCCCATTCAGTTGGCCCAAACCACCTCGTCCGCCCCGTTGACGGGCTTAGTGGAGGCACCCGAGTGCGACGCATGAGCAGCGACAAGGAACTCTCGACAGACGTGTACGACACAGTCGTCATAGGGGGGGGCGTAACCGGAACGGCCCTCCTCTTTCTCCTCTCAAAATTTACAAACCTGAAGAAGCTAGCCATCATAGAGAGGCGAAGTGATTTCGCTCTCGTCGCTTCCCACGGAAAGAACAACAGTCAGACGATACATTGCGGAGATATAGAAACCAACTACTCTTTTGAGAAGGCCAAGTTTATAAAGCGATATGCAGATCTGTTACGAAATTATCTGTGTCATTTGCCAGCCGAAAAAAGAGAAGACATTTCAAGTGCAACTCAGAAAATGGTCCTTGGGGTAGGTGAAAAAGAATGCGATTTTTTGGAGAAAAGATATCCCGTATTTAAGACCCTATTCAAATCTATGAGGCTGTATAATAAAAATGATATCCATAGTGTTGAGCCTCGAGTGGCTTTAAAAAATGAAAAAACTCTTCGAGAGGAGACCATAGCAGCTTTGTACATGCCACCAGAATTAACGACGTGTGATTATCAGAAACTTTCAAGCAGTTTCGTTGAATCGGCTAGAAGTATGAATAGTGTGGGGTCGAAGAAGATCTCCATTAACCTAAACACCGAAGTTACAAATATAGAAGAAGCAAATGAGTCATTATATATCATACATACGAATAGAGGAATCATTAAGTCAAGGTTTGTCGTTGTCTGTGCCTGTGGACATTCTCTCATGATTGCACAGAAAATGAATTACGGCTTGGAATACAGTTGTCTTCCAGTGGCTGGAAGCTTCTACTTTTCTGGTAATGTTCTTAAGGGGAAAGTATATACAATACAGAATCCAGCTCTCCCATTTGCAGCCGTTCATGGAGATCCTGACATCATCGAGAAGGGCAAGACTCGCTTTGGACCCACTGCTCTCCCACTTCCTCTACTAGAGAGGGATAATATGAACACACTAATCGATTTTTTAAAGGTATGGAATCCTGACTTGAGTCTTTTCCACGTCTACTTTAACCTTTTTAGAGATATGACCATGCTGAAATATGTGTGTCGAAATTTCCTCTTTGAAATACCTATCCTTAATAAGTACTTATTCTTGAAGGACGTGAGAAAAATCATTCCTTCTTTGACGACACGAGACCTATCCTACTGTGTTGGCTACGGGGGGGTCAGACCACAGCTCATAAATAAGGTCAGCAAGAAGCTTATCCTTGGAGAGGGAAAAATAGACTCGGGGAAGAATATCATTTTTAACATCACGCCCTCCCCGGGGGCCACCACCTGCTTGGGAAACGGCGAGTTTGACATGAACACCATATGTGACCGCCTCAACGCGACTGTGGACAAAGCCGCGGTGGGCAAGTTCCTCTATCAGGGGGACTACCCCGTCGATTATTTGTAGCAAGCAGGAGGGAGGCGCCTTCAAGCGGATCTACGCGGTTGGAAGGAGATCTACGCGACTGGAAGAGGATCTACTCGGCTGCTACGTTACCCCGTGCGGTACGAATCACTTCCAACCTCCCCTGCTCGTCAATCCAGAGCCAAGTGTAACTCCAGGATGACGCGCCTCTTTGTTCCCCTTCAAATATGACCCTTCTTTTTTTTTTTTTTTTTGGTCCCCCGCTACACCCGTATATCATACCTAGCCAATAACACCAAAC